ATTGCATGACTATATATATATAGTGCTAAGTTCCCAGCGTGCTAACCCCACGACGACCTGGGGATATGGGCATTTGATATATACATTCAACAGACCATCCACCATATAAACATTTGACTTGAGGACCCCACGAAATTCCTGATATAGTAATCCATGTCCAGAAAACATTTCATAGAATTGAATGTCCTCAGTTGTCAGCATGCTGTTAAAATTGATTTGGAAAAACACAAATTGAAAGTTCGAACAGTATTCAGATAAGTGTCACGAGACAAGCACTGACCATGTAGCTGAGCATGTTGTGCAATCCAATCACATAGGTGCACCCTGATGAGGAACATGAATAATCATGAACCAAAACATTTTCTTTAATTTATCAACACCTTCAGTTCATATTCTGCATAAAAGCAGCCAAGACACAGGACTGGAGGGCCACCCAATAATAATATGACTGCTGCTGCTCGTGCGCTGAGGATTGCCGGCTCATGACATGGGGAAGGCATCGCAAGAGATTGTCAGCTGACCCAGTGGACAAAAGGGGAGATGATGTGGAGAAGGTGATATTAATTGATATAAACTTTATGAATGATGTTCCGGTTGTTGACCTAGCACATTTATGACACTGGTAGGGTCATGTTGCTGGTAGGCTGATGTTGCTTGCTGGCTGGTGTTGCTGGCTAGCTGATGCTGCTGGCTGGCTGATGTTGCTGGCTGGCTGATGTTGCTGGCTGGCTGATGTTGCTGATAGGCTGATGTTGCTGGCTGATGATGGGTTTGCTGGGTTATGACCAAATGGTCTGCAAGTTCATGAATCAGTTATCTACATCCACATTGCTGGCTGACGAATCATGCAAATGAAACTGAAACCTTTCCAACACGTGACCAAGAAGCACATCATTTTTTTTGGACACATCCCATCCACGCCCAATCGCATCCCATGTAAGATGCCTACCACCTTCGCCAAACTGCATGCCACAGTGAATACCATTATTTTAACACTATTAATTGGTTTTTGGTGTGTGTATATATATATATTATATTTATTGGTTTAGATATTTTATTTGGAAAATAATATCATGTGGCTTGCATACTATCGCATGAATTGTCGTGTGTAAATCACACAACTTGATCACAACTTTGGTCAACTTTAAATAATCATGCAGGCCATCGTGCAACTTGTTTGGTCAATGTCCAGGCCTGGGAAACACCACCACGTTTTTTGAACGTGATTGTGCATCCATCACTCTTGTTGGCGGTTAAGCCACTGCCTTCAGGCAGACTGTCTTTGCCGCAGCCATATACATAGAAGCTCTTTGCCCACCACCTCATGCAGAGCAAAACTATGCAATACTGTCAACACAGCATTCAAAACACAATTTATGATTCCTGTGGATTCAATTATATACATATATACACATTAACATTAAGCTTCTAAAACAAGGCACAGCACACCCACAGCCAACTTGCCATCGACAGCAGGCAAGGTGTAGGACTTGCGCAGGTTCTCGCCATTGAACTCTGAAGGGATTGGTACACCAGCTGCTCGCAAAAGAGGCTCCTGCAGGAATGTATATAAATACGTGATTGTGCATACTACTAATATACCCCCAGCATATCCCTTTCTCTCTCTCTCTCTCTCCCTCTCTCTCTCTCTCTCTACAATATGAATGTATATAAATATATAAATATATATATATATAAACTAAATATTAAACAAAAATATATATGCAGATCTTGATACAATTTGTCAAATGCCAGTCCTGGGTGGCCCAGCTTTCCTGAAGCTGCGGAGCATTATCACCAGCTGCCTTCTTTTGCTTTGGTTCCTTTTTGTTTGGGGATGGTTTGGAGGGTGTCTGAACTGCCTCCTGTGCTTTTCGTTTGGCATCCTCCCCACCCCTGGCTGGTGACTTGGGGTCCTTGTCCTCCTGCTCCTGGTTGTCATCGGCCTTTGCAGGTGGAGCTTGTGTTTTCCTACCTCGTCCCCTGCCCCTTCCTTTGCCTTTGCCCTTTGCTGGCATGTTGTTTGCAGGCTCTGCATGGTGGGTTGCTTCGGGATCCTCACGGTTTTTGTCAGGCTGTTTTCCCCTTGCCCGAATTGCTTTCTTCACCTGCCCAGCACAAAAGCATGTACTGATCATGATCCATACAACGATATCAAAAGCAAACAATGACCCCTCCTTGGACTGCGCTTTCACCACATCCTCATCCACATCACCATGTATTTCATCACATAGTGCATCCACTTGCTCCTGTCACAAGGCAAATGATAAATAATACCAATAAATCATGCAGAAACATTCAGGGTGGAAGTCAGCATGCTCATGACCCTGCCTCCAGTGATTTATCCACTGATGCAATACCAATCATCAATGGCTTCGCTTCCTGTCCAGCTTTTAAATACATGTTTGCGTGCAACCCCCATAGACTGTTGAGACCAGAGCTGAAGTCAAGTGAATGACTGAGGCTTACCTTGGCAGCCTGTCTCCGATCTGAAGGCCATTCCGTTTGGACATCCTGGGCAAGACGTGGGTCAGCAGTGTTTTATAAATACATATTAATGAATATATGTTTCATCCAGGTCACCTGATCAGGAAGCTCCATATCCAATAATGGAAGGGTTTCTTGTTGGTCGGGATGAACAAATAGTTCCTGCACATTTACCACCCAAGCAGTGCAACATGCGACAAACATGTGAATAATATTGCAGGCACATGCAAGTCCTTCCTCACCTCTTGGAAATCTTCCGAGCTCTGCGAATCCTACCAAACATGTTGGTTTACATTTTCTTATGCAGTCGATTAAACTTTTTTCAACAAGAACTGTGTGGGAAGTCCTCCTGATCTGCCAAAGCAGCCTGAACATCAGATTCCAGGCGGGCTTCCACATCACCTGCAAGCCATGTAGCAGACATTACCAATACAAAATAATCATGTTTTTTTCACTTGAACCAAAAACATTCCAGCCTTCTTCACCCTCTAGATCAAGAGCTTGTCTGATGGTCTTTTTGATGACAATGACTGTTTTCTTCCTGCCAGCAAAGTAGGTATATATTAATCAGCATCGATGTGCATAAACTTTATTTTTTTTGTAAAAAAGAAACAACTTTTGTTGGAAACTGATTATCGAAACAACAACCAGCCTGGATCCATTTGACCTTGTCGCAAGGCTCAGCGCATGGATTGCCATTGACCTGGCAATGCCACCAGTGAAGCCAGCCCATGCCTGCAGGTAGTGTGCGCACATGACATCACACCAGTCAACACAAGCAATACATTGCAGAACCGCATGAATGTATGCAGACCTTGATCACCTTCTTCGCAGTCCGTGGTGCGAATAACCCATATCTCAAGGCACATATGTGGAAAACGGCCTGCAGCACAGGGTCTAGCAATTTACATTGGATCAAGCTTGCAGTGTGCAGAGAGAAAAAAATGGAAGGGTTCCACTGAAGGCTTCACCTTGAACTTGGAGAGGCTAGGCACCCCCAAAGGAGCAAACGTAGCGAAGAATTCAACCAGGAAACGCCAGTTGCCATCCAACTTAGATGCAATTGAATTGAGCAACAATAAACGCAGAATGTCAGTTGATACAACTTGTTATGCATGATGTTTTTTTTAAAAAAAATAATGCACAGCGCAATAGTAGCTAAGGCACAGCTTCAGCACACTGTGGCCCATTGGCATCCACTTCGAAGACCTTTTTTTCCTTCAATATTGGCAGATAATGTGGTGCATTGCCTAAACTGTTTGAATGAAACCACAGCTACCACAAGTTTCACCAGTCCTGTGAATCTCTGATTTTGGCAATGCGATGGGGATCTCTAAGAAGCCACGTCACCACCATATCTTCAAGCAGAACTAGTACTGGGTCCTGTCCACGACGCTTCACCTAAGTAGTAATACCCACATGGGAACCCTGCGCCCACTACAGCAATAATACAAGTACAATCATAATATATATAGAGATCTCCAACCAAGCAAATATAGTTTAGTCAAGTGGCAAATGGGCCATGTACATCCCCAGCATCCACAGCAAGAGCAACCATGACCAGCGTGTAGTGAGGGCGACCCCAGTGCCACCCTTTTTGCAAAATAGCCAAATGGCTTTGGGTGATCTTACAACATATATGCAGGATTGTTCAAATTGTTGCCAACACATGGTTCATGTAGCAGCAGGGCACCATGTACATCACATATAAGTAAGCAGCTGGGGTGGCAGGGCTGCGCACCTTCAAGTAGGGTCGAGGTCGAGGTGCTTGTTTGTGCTGAAATCGAATCATTTTTGGGCACCAAGGGAAACCGACCTCAATGTTCAAAAACACATACTTGCTTAAAGAAAAGAAACTGTTTACATATATATTGCTTGGATCGATGCACCATGCTAAGCCCAGCACACTGGGCAATGGCCCGTTGCATTGCTCATCCATCAATGTTGTCATATTTAGGTTTGCTTGGTGGTGCATGTGTTTTATGGTTGTTTATGTGGAATGATATGGAATGCTCAAGTGCTGGTGTAGGCTGTGCAACCCTTCCTACTGCTTTGCTTTGTTCTCCAGTGCTGAAAGAAGTAGTTTTGCTTTTGCTCCCTTGTTGTTAGTTACGGGATCATTGCTGAAATTTGTTGAGCTTGAGCTGTACTGTGGGATCAGGTGCTGAAATGAAACGTTCACCTGCAGGTTACTTGAGATATATAAGTTCGATGCAGCTGCATAGATACAATTTCCCAAATTTAATATATATAAATTTCATATATGACTTTTTGGGGTTATGTTTCGTGAATGTATGCCCCCTGGGCTAACATTGCTTCGTAGGCCCCTGGAGCCTACATTGGCATGTAAGCAAATAGTGCTTACACAGATTGCCTGGGATATATATGATTTATATATTTTATATATACATTGTACGTTGATTGTCATTGATTTAACTTGATAATGTGGTATGAAACAAGATCCTGATCACCACATTAAAGTGTTAAAGCTTTGAATCTGCGCAGCGCCACAGGAGCGTGAGGAATATCGCCAGGAAGCGGACCAACTCCTGGTGGCGGATGCCATACGAGCAAGAGAGGTTTCCTGGTGGCAGCTATCACGATCCCAAACAAACACCCGGTGATATTGACAATGGGTTGATGATGGTTAATGATGATTGATGAGTTGATGGATTGATTGATCCTTTCCTTTTTTTAAGGCTCCTCATGACATCAATCATCATCCATGGCTAATTGGTCACCATCCCAGGAATGGATGACCATGAAGGTACCTGGTACCCTCAACTCCACCCAAAAACATAGCGAGAATCGAATTAATTCATATTATATAATTCCATATAAGTAACCGACAAAACTAGCGGAAGGCTAAAGTAGTGGGAAGTGGACACGGGATATTCAAATTTGTGCGAAAACATTCACAACTGATAGGGGACCGCCCAGTTTGGCCATGTCTATTGCGGGTAGTAAGTAATTTTGTAGGCCACTCATATTGGTGATAGAACATGACAACCCATCAGCTGTCATGATCTGTCATGGGCAGGTCAACATTCAATTTAATCATAAATTCAACTAAACATAGGTAAACTATGGTAAAACTATGCTAAACAACATGGTAAACGAAATGACTTTTTTCGGCACATGGTCGCAACCCTGCCGAGGAACAGGCCAGGGAGTCGGAGGCGCTTCGTTTGAGCGAGGAGCTGACCGACTGCAGCTGTCAATCTTCGTGGTGTAAAAACCACGACCATCCATGGCCCCGGGCCCCTACTTTGGATGACATATACAGAATTATGTTCATTTTAATCTATTACAAATTAAACAAATTTATGGTTGATGAGTGGGAATGGTTTATTATGGTTTATTATTGTAGATCCCACATTCAGAAATGGGGGCGAAGAAAGGTACTACGGATGTTGTCGATGGTCCAGGGCTGAAAAGATCGATAAAGTCCGATTGATTTGGATTTGGTTCCATTCTGTTTGGTGATATTCTCATGTTCTTCGCGTGTGTTTCAATCTCGGAATCCTGTTGAATTTTCTGTTCTAAGCATTCTTTATAACATGTCCGTAGCTCTTCCACTTGGAGCCTAGTTTCTCATCATGCTCTGTCAAGGAGCGTGATGCTGCTCGCAAAGAACTAGATGAGCTGAAAGACAACGAGGTCAACTGACTTTGGAGCATGGCGTCATGAGTTGCTTGATGTTTGGCAAATTTCTCCAACCAACGACTGGCTCATCCTTTGATCAAACTGGTGGTGTCCAACAGCCAGGTACCTCGTCTGGTCCAGGTGCCGCATTCAACAAGAGTTGGCTGGTTGGTGTATGGAAAATTGTCCAATGATCTTCAATCGGTTTTTGTTGTTTTAATCCTATTTGGATCTATTTGGGATGATTCTTCCATTTTTCTGGACTATATATGACCATACTATCTACAATACACAGGGGTCGGACACACCAGCCAGATGATTCCGTGGGACCAGGAATGACACCCTGCACCCCTCCCACCGAACTGGCAGGAAGTACAACAATCTCGGGAAGATCTCAGGCAACTGCAGGACCGCGCAACTATCATTCTTCCTCCAAAGGGATGTGCTATGTGCCCATAGGGCGGGATGCCGTACCTCCAGAAATGATGATAAGCTAGTGGGTTTGGGGATTTCCCAAGATTTTCAGACAAAGCCATGAAGAGTGGTTGACTGATTTCCTCTCTGTGCAAACCTGTAGGAATGTTCTCACTAGTTGCAGAGTTAAGTTTCGACCACAGGCAGCGGTCATATCAGATATTCCTTTGCTGTCTTTTGGTAATTTTGGTACTCAAACATGGCAATGGAACATTGACACCGACCCCCATTTGCAATGACCATCAGGAGACTCATGATACGACCCTCACGACGCATGTGACCGAGCTGCAGTGGTGGAAATCGGAGGTGGAGAAAAAAGCGCAGATCATTTCACAACAAGTGGAGGCAGGGCCCCACGGGTCACATGGATGTTCATCCCACGTCTTGTGTTACAGGTATTAAACTGTTTTTATGTAATATAGATGACGGATGATGACTGATTATTGGATGATATTGGATGTGTTATGATTACGATTGTCATGAAGATGATACTTGACATGTGTACTTGCTGGCTTTCGAAGCAGGATGATTAGGCACTTGTTAAATTCTTGTGTTGATCAAGGCAGGCAGTTACATGGAACCAGAAACATCCAGCAACATCCAGCAGCATTTGTAGGAGATTATCCAGTGCCAAGATGCGGTGGATCATTGGAAGTTGGAGGCACAGAATGCTGCAGCAACCATTGGGAAGCAAACGCAGGACGGCGATTGAGGTCGCAGCAGCCAGATCGCACAAACATGTGGGGTCCTATTTGGTACTGTGGGATCCTTAAACTATTTATCATTGTATGATAGACATGTGTCAAGTTATCATCATCATCATCATCATCATCACCATCATCATCATCATCATCATCACCATAATCGTACAGAAGCATTTGCAGGAGATTATCCAGTGCCAAGATGCGGTGGAACATTGGAAGTTGGAGGCACAGAATGCTGCAGCAACCATTGGGAAGCAAACGCAGGACGGCGATTGAGGTCGCAGCAGCCAGATCGCACAAACATGTGGGGTCCTATTTGGTACTGTGGGATCCTTAAACTATTTATCATTGTATGATAGACATGTGTCAAGTTATCATCATCATCATCATCATCATCATCATCATCATCATCATCATCACCATAATCGTACAGAAGCATTTGCAGGAGATCATCCAGTGCCAAGATGCGGTGGAACATTGGAAGTTGGAGGCACAGAATGCTGAAACAACCATTGGGAAGCAAACGCAGGACGGCGATTGAGGTCGCAGCAGCCAGAGCGCGAAAAATGTGGGGGTGGTTGTAGAATCGTTCAATTATTTCTGTATCTCCCTACATCTTTACAAGTAGCTGCTACTATGGTTGCAAAGATGATCCCCCAGGAGTCATAATTCATATGGTTCGGGTTGGTTGAACATACCTTAACATTGTCAACCACCTGAAAAATATGGCTATCTGATTGATCTCATCAAAAGTGCCACAAAATGATGATAATAGTAATATCATATAATATCCAAATTTGTTGTCACCAAGTATCAAATTTATTTGTTCATGATACCCAAGCATATACGACGGTTACATAAATTCAATACTACGCTTAAATTTTAAAACATATTATTATATTATATGTGCTATACATATGTCTAATCATCTAGTCATATCCGATACTAGGATCAATGAATATACACTTCTAATATGCCATTGATTGTGATGATATCCCATGATAAAGTATCAGTGTTTCTTATAATATCAACCAGATACCTTTTGTTGCCATGGCAGGATCTGCGGCAATGTCGCGAGCAGTTGGAGATGTGCAAAGAACAGGGCAAGGAGCGCACTGCCGCAGCGGTTGAAAAGCGACTGGAGGACGGAGGGTGGCACGGCGAAACTCGACGAAACACGACGAAACATGCCGCATGCCCAATGAGTTCCATGTGTTCCATTGTCATGATATGAACGCGATTGGTATGGGTTCATTTCATAGATAGATAGAGATATAAATATACATATATATATAATATATTAATTATATACAGTATATATACAAAGGTATTTATGATTATTTCAGAATGAAACTGGAACTTGTACTGTGCCTGGTGTTCCCAAATTTTTCCATTCCGAACTGATTTGGGATGGTGATGCCCTGCGACGAATGCCTGTTGTGCAGATGACCATAGATGATTCAAAAGCAACTCACAAACATTCCTGAAACCCCACAAAAGATTACAAAAGATCATCGTAGGTGTTGGGTATACGTCTCAACATCCTTGGGATGAAAGCCTTCAGGCAGAAGATGAGTTGGAAACTCTGAAGAAAAGATATCAGAAGAACATGGCCTTGGTGTCTCGCCAAGCCAAGGTGCCCCTGCTGATCTTATTCGGCTTAGTCGGCTTAGTTGAGGCTCATCTTGGTCATCTGTGCACTGTTTTTGCTCGCGTTTTTGGTGGTCAGGAATTGGAAGACTGCCAAGAAGAGGTGGACACCTGGAAGGAGGAAGCTGCGACAAAATCCCAGACGATTGCAGAACATCTCCAGGCAGTGGTCAGCGGTTTGATGTATTTGGATGTAATTATTTGGTGTATTTGATGCATTTGATTTTGAAAGAGATGAACTGGATACCGGATACCTGGTTTGTTCCAATGTAGTGCCCCACATGGCAGGAGATCAAGCGCGCTAGAGATGAGTTGGAGGAGATGAAGAGACAAAAGGAAAAGGATGCAACCAGTGCATTGAAGCAAAGTGAGGCGATGGCAGCAGATCAGTTTTGGAGAGGTCAGTGCAAGTTGTCTCAAGAGGCAGGCGGTAACGATGGATTCAACACCACGATGAATCACCATCGGGATTGTCACTGGACTAGTACGCACATTCAACTGGTAGATACCGGTAGAAAGCCATAGGGCTGGTTACATCAATCCCATAGCTGCGGGACCAGGTCCTAGCCCGATGCCAAGAAGACTTGGAGAAGTGTCAACAGGAAGCTGAGAAAAGGAAAGAAGAGTTTTCCAAACAAGCAGAGGCAGGTGTGGGTCAACCCCCAAAAAAAATTGGATGGATTTGGTTCTGTTTGATGATCGATATTCAACATCTCAAAATGGTCCAAACCTGTGGTCCACAGACGGGGTCTTAATTTTTGAATACCCCACGCGACCAGTTCCCAGGTAGGGTCTGCTGGGATGATGTGTGGGTATGACACGCCAACTGCCCTTCAATGTTCATCAATTCCACAGGAGATATTTATTTAGTAAATGTTTAATCAAATCATATCCGATACTAGGATCAATGAATATACACTTCTAATATGCCACTGATTGTGATGATATCCCATGATAAAGTATCAGTGTTTCTTATAATATCAACCAGATACCGTTTGTTCCCATGGCAGGATCTGCGGCAATGTCGCGAGCAGTTGGAGATGTGCAAAGAACAGGGCAAGGAGCGCACTGCCGCAGCGGTTGAAAAGCGACTGGAGGACGGAGGGTGGCACGGCGAAACACGGCGAAACACGACGAAACATGCCGCATGCCCAATGAGTTCCATGTGTTCCATTGTCATGATATGAACGCGATTGGTATGGGTTCATTTCATAGATAGATAGAGATATATAAATATAATTAAATAGACATATATATATTAATTATTTACAGTATATATACAAAGGTATTTATGATTATTTCAGAATGAAACTGGAACTTGTACTGTGCCTGGTGTTCCCAATTTTTTCCATTCCGAACTGATTTGGGATGGTGATGCCCTGCGACGAATGCCTGCAGTTGTGCAGATGAGCATAGATGATTCAAAAGCAGCTCACGAACATTCCTGAAACCCCACAAAAGATTACAAAAGATCATCGTAGGTGTTGGGTATGCGTCTCAACATCCTTGGGATGAAAGCCTTCAGGCAGAAGATGAGTTGGAAACTCTGAAGAAAAGATATCAGAAGAACATGGCCTTGGTGTCTCGCCAAGCCAAGGTGCCCCTGCTGATCTTATTCGGCTTAGTCGGCTTAGTTGAGGCTCATCTTGGTCATCTGTGCACTGTTTTTGCTCGCGTTTTTGGTGGTCAGGAATTGGAAGACTGCCAAGAAGAGGTGGACACCTGGAAGGAGGAAGCTGCGACAAAATCCCAGACGATTGCAGAACATCTCCAGGCAGTGGTCAGCGGTTTGATGTATTTGGATGTAATTATTTGGTGTATTTGATGCATTTGATTTTGAAAGAGATGAACTGGATACCGGATACCTGGTTTGTTCCAATGTAGTGCCCCACATGGCAGGAGATCAAGCGCGCTAGAGATGAGTTGGAGGAGATGAAGAGACAAAAGGAAAAGGATGCAACCAGTGCATTGAAGCAAAGTGAGGCGATGGCAGCAGATCAGTTTTGGAGAGGTCAGTGCAAGTTGTCTCAAGAGGCAGGCGGTAACGATGGATTCAACACCACGATGAATCACCATCGGGATTGTCACTGGACTAGTACGCACATTCAACTGGTAGATACCGGTAGATAGCCATAGGGCTGGTTACATCAATCCCATAGCTGCGGGACCAGGTCCTAGCCCGATGCCAAGAAGACTTGGAGAAGTGTCAACAGGAAGCTGAGAAAAGGAAAGAAGAGTTTTCCAAACAAGCAGAGGCAGGTGTGGGTCAACCCCCCCAAAAAATTGGATGGATTTGGTTCTGTTTGATGATCGATATTCAACATCTCAAAATGGCCCAAACCTGTGGTCCACAGACGGGGTCTTAATTTTTGAATACCCCACGCGACCAGTTCCCAGGTAGGGTCTGCTGGGATGTGTGGGTATGACACGCCAACTGCCCTTCAATTTCCACAAACGTCCCGATTCGGGGGGGATTAGCCAATTATATGGACATCACTTATCATTACTAAGTTTGACGATTAGAGATTGAACTTTCGTTAGATCCTAAACATAGTGGTTAACCTGCGAAATATAATGTTGATAGATGGTGACAGTATAGAAGATGAAAAGATGCGAAAAACTGTGCCCCAATGGATTCTTGACAGGAGCTCATGGATTGCCGAGGGGAAGCAGATCAGCTCCTTGCTACTGAGTCCATGCTTCTGGCGGAGAGGACACAGCTGCAGAAGGCTGGAACAAGGCTTTTCAGCAGTGTTGCCACTTGTTCAAATACTAGGTAGGTTGATGTTTGTTATATGTTTGTAAGCCTGTTCTTATATTTTGTTTGATTTTGGTTTGCGTATATGTACGTATATAATGTTATTATATTATATGTGTGTGCCTGCATATGTTTAATACCCATTGTTTGGGATTGATGCCGGTTGTCAAACTACGTTTGCACGTAACGGTTACAGCTTGTCGTGATTGGACCTTCAAGCATCTTCAAGCATCTTCAAGCATAGCATCCGAATGCCTGGTGTTGATGTCTTAGACTTGGCAATTTGATGTGCGATAGGAAGTGGAAGAATACCGAGCAGAAGCTGATCGGCTTTGTATTGCTGAGTCGATGCACCTGGCGGAGAAGTCTCAGATCGAAAAGGCGGGCTTTGACAATGCTGCTGTTCGGTGCCATTTTGAGAGCACAGAAACACTATGATCACTATGAAATACTATGAAAATACTATGAAATACTATGAAAATACTATGAAATACTATGAAAATACTATGAAATACTATGAAAATACTATGAAATACTATGAAAATACTATGAAATACTATGAAAATACTATGAAATACTATGAAAATACTATGAAATACTATGAAAATACTAATACTATGAAAATACTATGAAATACTATGAAAATACTATGAAATACTATGAAAATACTATGAAATACTATGAAAATACTATGAAATACTATGAAAATACTATGAAATACTATGAAAATACTATGAAATACTATGAAAATACTATGAAATACTATGAAAATACTATGAAATACTATGAAAATACTATGAAACACCACCTTGGGAAGGCGAAGATATTGACTGATTACATCGAAAACATTGTTGATGGTTGGAATTCAGAATGCAGTGTTGTCCCATTTGAGCCCTTACGTAATGTTTTTTAACGAGATTCAATTTGCACTGCCTTGTCACAGCCTCCCTTAGCCAATGTGTTGGTGTTTCTTGGTATTTGTTGCTGTTTGTTGGTGTTCGGTGCAGGAGCTGGAAGACTTCATGACCAAAGCAGATCATCTTCGGGTGTCCGAAGCCATGCTGCTGGCAGAGCAGTCTCAGATGGCACAGGACCGACTTGTACCGGCAAGGAAGATTGACTCGGGATGATTCGTGATCTAAAATAGCCATTGAAATTGATGAAACTTGGGATATCTAAAATGGCCCTTTGAAAGTATTTCAATTGGGAAAAGAATGATGAACCAGTGGATGGGATGGGGTAGCCTATTTTCAAACAAACCCACTCTACAGCTGATATTGATGATTTCTCATGATTTCTATTTTGGTTGGATTCATCAGGCACCGACTTGCCACAAAATCATACGCGCTGTTGTAGCCATTGCTGTTGTAGGCTGTAGGTACTACTACTACTACCACTACTACTACTACGACTACGACTACGACTACTACTACTACTACTACTGCTTTCTGTGTGTATCTCAGCGGCTGTACCAACAAGTGAGATACGGTCAGAAGAAGCGTAGATTACTCTAGTAAGGAGGGGCGCAATTATGCTGAGAAAGTGCACCAAACCATGCAAAGCGATAGGGCCCCAAAAAAAGACGACTTGTAACTTGTAACCATATATTATGAGAGTACATTAAACTCATTTGACTCGGTGTATACCAATCAAATATTGTTGTGTACATTCATGCAATGGCAAAAGTGATGAAGAAACCTATGTAAGAGATGTGTTTTTGTTTTGTTTGTTCATAACATGTGTTTGTTTTGACATCATCCTTGCAATCGCTGCTTAGTTGTTCCCATCCTTGCCATCATCATAATAGTAGAATCATCATCATCATCATCCTCCTCCTCCTCATCCTCATCCTCATCATCATCATGTTGCCGTCGTCATCGATCACGATGAGTTCAATCCCACTCCGGCGTTGCTCCGTGCCGCTCGGACTGATCGCTGCATCACAGATATCACAGGAGTTAGAGAACTGCAGGGTCGCAACAGCTGAGCTGAGGAAGGCGGAAATCTGGTTTTCCAATGTGTCAGGGTGTGGATGTTCCACGGATGAGACGGGGGTGGCTTTTAACGGAAATTTAACGATGGGCACACGAGAAATGCCGGGTTTGCATGATGATACTGAAAATCAACACTGTCAGTTGTCCCAAAGGGAATTGGATGTTGATACGCCCCGGGAGAAGTTTGAAAGTGTCAACCATTGTCATCCCCGAAGAATACTGCTAGTGGATATGGATTTTTGCAATGAACATGAGCATGTCGTGCATTGTTGCTATATATCAAATTGTCGGGCTCCCGGGGTGGCCAAACAGCGTGAAAGGCAAGCTCAATCTATATATATATATATATTATATACATAATTATATATGTGTGTGTATGTGTGTGTTATCGTCCCATTTCGAAACATCTGCATCCGTTTGTAAAAACCAAGATTTGGAAGTTGCTGTAGCCACTGGCAAGCACCACAGGAAACTTTAAGTTCACAGTTTTTATTGTGTCATTACAATATATTACAATGCATTTTTTTCGCATGGTTTCCTTTGTCCATGACAGCCCTTGAGCTTTGAGACGCAGGAAAGAGACGATTTCCATGCTAAAGCTGATCAGCTCCAAGTAGCTGAAGACTGCCATTTGGAACGACTTTCACTTGCGAACAAGGCTGATATTTTGCTGTCCTCAACACAGCTAGGGTTTAAAGATGTTTAAAGGATGGGACTGCAATAACATGGGACTCTTGGGCGTTTGGTGCGGAGGAACCTGGATATGGAGAAAGTTGACGTTGCAGATCGGGGATAATTGTAGCACCATGTAGCACCTAAGTGTTCATGTGTTCATGATTTGGCTGTCTTGAGAGGGCTAGACGGCTAGATTTGGTCAACAAGCTAAGCTCCATTGGCCATTGTATTTGATTTGTTTGTGACAATAGTACAGTATGTTATGTTGATGTATGTTGAATGCTCCTCTTTTTGAGCGAAAGGCTGTGTGGTTCAAAAATAAACTCACGCCCTGTAGCTGGTTTGAAATGCAAAGGGTCGCCTGAGGTATGAAGACTACATTTACATACACTTAGGATTTAAATATAGATAGATATATAAATATATGTTTATATTTTTTCATTGTTTATTTATATAATTGTATATACATTTCTTTATGGATTGGCCATGCATGGCCATGCTGTTCATTTTTGAGTGTTTAGTGGACAGGAACTTGGGAAATTGACAGCAGAAGTCAATCAGCTTCGAGCTGCTGAAGCGTTGCAACTAGACGAGATTGCCCAGATTGGCAAGGACCCATGGCTGGATGTGTCTGGAAATGGGGTATACCTGGTATACCCATGATGTAGCCATTTCATACGGAAATTGATGATAAACCATGGGCTTTGGAAAATCCGATTTCCAGACAAACCCATATGGAATGTTTGAAAGGTGTTGAAAGTGGTATTTCTTACTGTAGCCATTTGTAGCCACATTTGGGATCTGGGGCCAACCGGTTGGGCCGGGTGTGTCGACGCATCTCGTTTCGGGACGTTTTAGGTATTTAGACGTTGAGACCTTTATCTAACGCATAGCATTATGTTATCATGGTTTTGTATATCATATACTACATTGACCCTCCAAACCCCGGGTTCGCCCACACTTAAACAACACATCCAAACAATATGATATACTTATCACCAGGATGAATGAAAACACTGGCTATACGCAGTGATTTTGACTTTAAGATTTCAGGATTTAGGGTTTTAGGTTTTAGGGTTTGTTGTTTTGGAAAGTAAAAAAAAACTTATACCCCACGCGGGGATTTGAGCATGTCAAATGATATGGAGGATTCGCCGCGGGCAAGCCTAGGGTTTGCAGTGTACATTGATCTACATTGTACTGTATATATATATATGTATATATGTATATATGTATTTATATATATATATTTATGTGTTCCCTTCAGCCCATGCCCCAGCAAAATGCATCAAGTGAGTCACAACTGGAGGACCTGGAGAAGCACCGCGCCGAAGTTGATCGGCTGTGCATGGCCGAAGCCATGCACATGGCAGAGAAGGTGCAAATTTCTGAGGTGCGGCTGGGGCTGGAGGATTCGCCATGGGGATATGATTCTGGATAAATGTTCAAATGATTTCCAATGGGGATGGGTCAAAATATATACCATATATTTAAGGGCGGCCGCCCCTGTCGCCGACCCCGGAAACCTGTGCCATCCTCTCGCCTTCATCCATCAGGCGCGCCCGACAAGTCTCTGGCAGCCCTTGCATTGCATTGATCTAGTGGGTCAATCCATGAAAATATGGATGCTTCTATGTTTGGCTTAGTAGCTGCGTTCCACTGTGCCAGTTGTTTCTTTGTCTTTCAAGCAGAGATCACATAGACTTAACTTGGCATAGCACTTCGTGTTTTTAATTTCTTTCCCTTCAGCATCTAGTTGTGTTATCAAAGAAAATCATTGTAGCAGTCCCTTGTTCCTCGTTCTTGTGTAATCCAAATTCAATTTAAGCTCCATCTCTCGTGTTTTCAAACATGGTTTTCAGATTCTTCACGTGATTGATGGGAGGATGACATAAATTCACTCGCAGGAGAGTGGCTGAAAAGCGGAAAATCTAAATTGACCAAAGTGGACAAGTTGCATCAGTGAGGGCAAGAACAAATATCATGATATTTTGGGGCTGTTCTTGACTTTTTGGGGATGAGACAACAAAAAAAGTGCCAAAACTGATCACCAAACATTGGGATTTCTTGGAGCACGAAGTAATATGAAACGACTCGGGATGAAGCAATATGACACATTATCAAACAGTACAATACCAACAGCAGCTTTCTGGTCAAGACTAGAAAATTCAATCCTTTGGATCATGAGATATGAAACCTCATGAAGAATCATCTCATCACTAGAAACCACCACTAGTCTCTGTGAACCAATGGCTTCTTGAACATGCGTTGCAAGATCGGGATTTCCTGAGGGTGGATGGCATGGCATACAAGCTGACCGCACATGAAGGAGTGATCAGTCTTCTCGTAGCCCGAGCTGCCTACAACAAGTCGAATAGCTTTTACGAACAATGTGGGCTGCTTCTGCGGGACTTGAAGTTGACCGTTCGAACGGTGGGGAAGAACATGGAGCTGGCCCCGCCTCAAGATTTGCCATGGGGGCTGGGAAGGTGTAAGTTGAAGCGCGTTTCTAGCTAGTTCTGTAGAATTTCGGATGCAGCATTAGCATTTTTTTGGTGCGATTTGGTGGCTTCTCCGTCCTTCACTGCCATGGTGCTTCAGGTCCTGCCAGCCTGAAACACCATGGCAGTGAAGGAAGGAGAAGCCACCAAATCGCACCAAAAACTCCCCTAGACAACTAGCTCTTCAACTTACAGCTTCCGCCAAAACATTGGACCCGCCAGCCTAAAAATCCTAAAACACCATGGCAGTGAAGGACGGAGAAGCCACCAAATCGCACCAAAAAACTCCCTAACGCGTCTTCTGAAATCCTAGAGAACTAGCTCTTCAACTTACACCTTCTGAGCCGCCAAATCACTGAAGACGCTGCCGCCGCCGCTGCTGCTGCTGGTGCTGCTGCTGCTGGTGCTGGTGCTGGTGCTGGTTGCTGCTGCTGCGGGTTGCTGCTGCTGGTGCTGGTGCTGCTGGTTGCTGCGGGTTGCTGTTGCTGCTGCCGCTCCTGTTGCTGCCGCTGCTGCTGCTGCTGCTTCTGCTTTTACTGTCGGCCCGATATCGTAATTGAAGTTGGACGCTCTTATTCCCTGGCGCGCCCCTCCTGCTGTCGGCCGGGGTCGGTGGATTCAGGGGGATGAACATCCAGAAGATTCCAGAAGCAGTTATTTTAAGGTGTGAAGGGTGACCCCAGGGACACGATTCATGTTTGGGGGGTCCCATATGGCGTCCAGGAACGCGATGCTTGCTATGTCCAAGTGCAACAGCTGCGTGCCTTATCTTTCGGCGCTTTCCTGCTCTACTTCGGGCGGATGAAAACCATGGCCGAGGTGCGCCAATGGCCACATCTATTTAAAGATATTCGAGTAGACAACGGATGACAAACGTATAGATTCTGTTGGTTTTGTTTTAAGTGTTTTTTCCAACAGGCAATGTTCGCGTAGCAGTCTTAAGGACTCAGGGGTTGGTCGCTGCAATTAGATAAGTGTTGGGTCTTTGGGATTGTCCAACCTGCAGTGGTTCTCATGTTCAATACGTCAAACCCCACAGATGTGCAGAATGTTGGTTTTGCCATGTTTTACCCGTCGGCACATGACAGGTGGTTCGCAAGTGGAAAGAAGAAGCTGCCGATTGTCGTGCCGAAGCTGCGTGCCTGAGAGACACCTCGCAAATTCTGAAGGCCATGCCGGAATGCTGACGGATCAAAATCACAAGAATTCCTTTAGTCAAATCTGATGTTGACAAGAAATGCATGATCTTTCACTTCTCATGCACCCTTTGCTTTGGATTTTGGAAGATGACATCAATGATTAAATTTCATGAGAGTGGATGTGGATGTGGATGTTAAATTCTAGAGGATCAGTCACTTATAATTTGGCCCAACCTCTTGGTTCTCTACAAAGGGTGCCCTCTCTAGCCATTCCAGCCCCCCTGCAGCACTGCAGGAGCTTCAGAAGTGCAGATCAGAAATAGATCACCTCCAGGCACAACATGAAACAGACATCATGGAGATGAGCCAGATATCCAAGGAGTTTTGGCGGGAGTGATAATCTGATAGGGCCATTCACCTGAGTCTTGTACAACAAAATCCAAGGGCATGGCATCAGATAAAAACGGAGGCGCAGCTAATTGCTCTGCAAATCTCTGCAAGTTTCTTCTGATGGACAGAGATAGCTTACGCCTTTGGAAGTCCAGATGATAAATCATTATAAATCTTGGCCCAGGTCATGAGTGGATTATATCACAGCAGTTGATTCGATGTGGCTGAAGAGTTTGATGTTAATCTCTGCGTTTCGAGAGCCTCTCCCAACAAGATTCTGACGGCCAAACGAATCATGGTGGGGGAGCCACCCAGTTCTGCCTCCCTGCACAATCTTGCAGGATCGAGATGACTATCAGTCCCTTTCCGAACAATTTCGCGCAGCATTCGACGAGATGTCCATTGTCGTAAAGGAGCTATCTGAGTCTATTTTGACTCATCTTGACATAGGATTTGGGAACCGACCCGGGCGAATGTCATCAACAATAGCGCTGCGTTCAAAATTGTGCCATAGTAAGTCATAGTAGTACTATATTATATTGTACTGCAATAGTCTTGATTCATGCTGCATGAATTTATATTCGCTATATTCCGCTATTGTATCATATAGCATACAGACAAGTATACACTATCTGTGCGTAGACGAGCCATTAATTTAATTGGCCAGGTTTCCCACAGATTCTTTCCCTGTAGGAAGTGGTCCATGTCTACCCCAATTTAGAGCCACCCACATGAATCATCATCAATGAATCAAGAGCCAATGCTTGATGTTTCAACCACCCCAAAGATCCTGTGTTTGATAATCTCCCCACTGGACCCACATGTTTCAACCGGAGTTGGAGGAGTGGCTCCATGGTGATGTGACCGGGGGAAAGAATTCAAGACCCTAAAACAGGAGGGAAGATAGGCATTCTTAGATTCTTGATATGGTTTTAAAATGTGGTAAAACCTTTCAGGTGTTGCATCATTGGGATCTGAGCCTGTATAGCGCTTAAGTTTCGGCCCTTCAGACGGCCAAAAAAAGGTTCCTCCCGGCATGCCCAAGCTCTGCAGGAGTTAGATCAATGCAGGGCCCAAGCGAACGACCTCCGGTCAGCTCAAGAAGAACAGCTCGCACAAATCACACAGATTTCCAAGGAGTTCCGTTTGCTCAGCACATTGTCACCGGTAAATACACATGCGCATCTTTGTATCCGTGAATTATTGACACATGTTCTTGGAATTGATACTGTAAGTTGGCCATTTATGATGCTGATGCTTCGTTTCACTTTCACAGGAGCGCGACGAATACAGCGAAGAGATTGCCCGAATGCGTGGTCTGCAAGAAGAATGCGAGGCAGAGATGTCCCAGCTCGCTAAGGACAGACAGGCTGCTTCCAGCTTCACATGAGAATGAGAACAGCGACCCATGGCACAGTCCCCGTCCCAAAAATGAACGTCCTGTTTTTGTGCAGGCAAACAATGACATGCAATGACAACATCTCATAATTTAGTCACACTGCTTTAACTATAGGTTCGTTGTAGATGCATGATCAATCATGATCATACTCGTACGCAAAGGCCTTTGGAAGTTCCCAGCCGCCCAAGTCCTGTGAATGATCCCAACATGCAGGAGTTAGATCACTCCAGAGCACGAGCGAGCGATCTCCAGAAAGCTCAGGCAGAACAGCTTGCAGAAATCACTCGGATTTCCAAGGAGCTTGAAAGTTTTGAGCCTGTTGGTATCCCTTTGGTTCTGCATTTATCATATCGGATTTATGGGCTGATCATGTAAGAACTGTTCTTATTTTTCCAAATTCCCACTCAGACTCATGCATCTCAGTCCAGACAGAATCCATTTTTGACAGGCTGACCTGCTGATTTTTTCTAATTTGTGATGTGTTTCGTTTGGCTTCCTCAGGAGCGTGACGAACGCAGCGAAGAGATTGCCCGAATGCGTGGTTTGCAAGAAAAATACGAGGCAGAGATGTCCCAGCTCGCTAAGGACAGACAGGCTGCTTCCAGCTTCACATGAGAATGAGAACAGCGACCCATGGCACAGTCCCCGTCCCAAAAATGAACGTCCTGTTTTTGTGCAGGCAAACAATGACATGCAATGACAACATCTCATAATTTAGTCACACTGCTTTAACTATAGGTTCGTTGTAGATGCATGATCAATCATGATCATACTCGTGCGCAAAGGCCTTTGGAAGCTCCCAGCCGCCCAAGTCCTGTGAATGATCCCAACATGCAGGAGTTAGATCACTCCAGAGCACGAGCGAGCGATCTCCAGAAAGCTCAGGCAGAACAGCTTGCAGAAATCACTCGGATTTCCAAGGAGCTTGAAAGTTTTGAGCCTGTTGGTATCCCTTTGGTTCTGCATTTATCATATCGGATTTATGGGCTGATCATGTAAGAACTGTTCTTATTTTTCCAAATTCCCACTCAGACTCATGCATCTCAGTCCAGACAGAATCCATTTTTGACAGGCTGACCTGCTGATTTTTTCTAATTTGTGATGTGTTTCGTTTGGCTTCCTCAGGAGCGTGACGAATGCAGCGAAGAGATTGCCCGAATGCGTGGTTTGCAAGAAAAATACGAGGCAAAGATGTCCCAGCTCGCTAAGGACAGACAGGCTGCTTCCAGTTTCGCATGAGTGGCCTATGGCACAGTCTCTGTCCCAAAAATGACCGTATGATGTTTCTGTGAAACGCCAGCAATGACATGCAATGACAACATCTAACGACTCAGTCACACGGCTTTCTAGATTGATTGATTGTTTATTGTAGATGCATGATCATACACGTGTGCAAAGGCCTTTGGAAGCTCCCAGCTGCCCAAGTCCTGTGAATGATCCGAACATGCAGGAGTTAGATCACTCCAGAGCACGAGCGAGCGATCTCCAGAAAGCTCAAGAAGAACAGCTTGCAGAAATCACTCGGATTTCCAAGGAGCTTGAATGTTTTGAGCCTGTTGGCGTTCCTTTGGTTCGGGTGCATTATGGATCAAATCATGATGGTGCATTAAGTCATTGAAATATTGGCTGATCTTGAGCCAGATGTAAGAACTGTCCGTTTGTCCGAAGTCACAACTAACTCATGCAGCGCAGCCCAGACAGAAGTCTCAAAGGCAGACCGACTGATTTTTTCTACTTTGTGATGCTGACTGATGTTTCGTGTCGCTTTCGCAGGAGCGCGACGAATGCAGCGAAGAGATTACCCGAATGCGTGGTCTGCAAGAGAAATACGAGGCAGAGATGTCCCAGCTCGCTAAGGACAGACAGGCTGCTTCCAGTTTCACATAAGAACAGTGACCTAATGTCCACCTATGATTTATAAATAGGGGGGGCCCCTCCCCCCCCCTCTTTGACCCTAAATAAACTTAAAGCCACCATAAAACTTGTTTGTATGTAAAGGTTTTAAATTACTGTACCACAATTGAAAACGAATACATAAAATGCAATTTCAAAAAAAAAGGAATCCAGCAATTGTTTTAGTATTGATCTAGTACTCATGTCATGGACTTAGTATTGATCTAGTACTCATGTCATGGATTTAGTATTGATTTAGTATTCATGTCATGGATTCAGTATTGATCTAGTATTCATATCATGGATTTAGTATTGATTTAGTATTCATCTCATGGATTTAGTATTGATTTAGTATTCATGTCATGGATTTAGTATTGATTTAGTATTCATCTCATGGATTTAGTATTGATTTAGTATTCATGTCACGGATTTAGTATTGATTTAGTACTCATTTCATGGATTTAGTATTGATTTAGTATTCATTTCATGGATTTACTATTGATTTAGTATTGATTTAGTATTCATTTCATGGATTTACTATTGATTTAGTATTGATTTAGTATTCATTTCTTGATCAGCGGGAGGGGGAAGCTCAGTAGCTTTATTCAGGGTCAAACTCTAATTGGTGCTAAGGCACCTCATGGGGGGTACCCTTGATGAGTTGATTTGGAGTTGATTTTGGATAAGTTTAAGTAAAGGTTTTGAATAGAAAGAGCATCCATCATTTTTGACAATGTCCAGCTATCATTTTTGAATAAAGGTTTTGGTCAGCCCCATCTGGGCAAATCTGGGTTTAGGGTCAAAAAAAATTAGCTTTATTTAGGGGTCATTTAATATTTTTTGGGGGAAAAAATTAGCTTTATTTAAGGGGTGTTTAAAAATCGTAGGTCAACATTATGGCACAGTCTCCGTCCCCAAAAAAATGCAATGACAACATCTAACAATTTAGTCGCACTGATTTAACTGTAGGCTCGTTGTAGATGCATGATCAATCATGATCATACACCTGTGCAAAGGCCTTTGGAAGCTCCCAGCCGCCCAAGTCTTGTGAATGATCCGAACATGCAGGAGTTGGATCACTCCAGAGCACGAGCGAGCGATCTCCAGAAAGCTCAAGAAGAACAGCTTGCAGAAATCACTCGGATTTCCAAGGAGCTTGAATGTTTTGAGCCTGTTGGCGTTCCTTTGGTTGTGGTGCATTATGGATCAAGTCATGATGGTGCATTATGTCATTAAAATAGTTGGCTGATCTTGAGTCAGATGTAAGAACTGTCCGTTTGTCCGAACTCCCACTCAGACTCATGCCACTCAGCCCAGACAGAATTCTCAAAGGCAGACCGACTGATTTTTTCTACTTTGTGATCTGATGCTGATGTTTCGTGTCGCTTTCGCAGGAGCGCGACGAATGCAGCGAAGAGATTACCCGAACGCGTGCTCTGCAAGAGAAATACGAGGCAGAGATGTCCCAGCTCGCTAAGGACAGTCAGGCTGCTTCCAGTTTCACATGAGAACAGTAATCTATTGCACAGTCTCCGTCCCAAAAATGAAGGTAACAACAATGACATGCAATGACAACATTTAACAATTTAGTCACACTGATTTAATTGTAGCTTCTTTGTAGGTGCATGATCAATCATGATCATACATGTGTGCAAAAGCCTTTGGAAGCTCCCAAAATGCCCAAGTCTTGAGAATGATCCGAACATGCAGGAGTTAGATCACTCCATGGCACGAGCGAATGATCTCCAAAAAACTCAAGCAGAACAGCTTGCAGAAATCACTCGGATTTCTAAGGAGCTTGAAAGTTTGGAGCCTGTTGGTATCCCTTTGGTTATGGTGCATTATTGGCTGCTCTTGTGAGTGCATGAAAGAACTGCCCTTATTTTTCCAATTCCCACTCAGACTCACGCATCTCAGTCCAGACAGAATCAATTTTTGACAGGCTGACCTGCTGTTTTTCTATACTTTGTGATGGTGATGTTTCGTTTCACTTTTGCAGGAGCGGGACGAATACAGCGAAGTTGCCCGAATACATGCTCTCGAAGAAAAATACAAGGCAGAGGTGTCCCAGCTCGCTAAGGACAGTCAGGCTGTTTCCAGTGTGTCACATGAGAACACTGACATAGCTATAGGTCGTTCTATAGTTGAAATATACCGACCCCTGAGCCCCACCATGTATAGCATAGGTAGTAGGTCCAGTGTAGGTAGTTATGCCTTAGCTATGAGTCCAACACACCAATTAGCTATTCCAATCATGTACAGAATAGCACCCCTTATCTAGAAGCGTTAGATAAGGAGAGTAGCCCTAGGTAGAGCTAGATACTTCCCCCTTCACCCTAACAACCACCTGGGTAAAGGGGTATAATTAAGTATGCTACCGACCCTATGGCTCAAGTGCACAAAAGTGTGCTTGCGGTTCTACTTGTTTTGTTTATGGTAAAGGGTTGTGGTAGGAACATCTTTGGTTCGACCCCCCTTTTGTCTGGTTATCAGCCGTAAGGCTTGTTTTCTTGGTTGTTTTGCCTTTTGGGGTTTCTATTCCTACCACAACTGGTTTAGGCCCCTGGTTTCGCATCGCTCACTGTCTTTCACTCTTGCATGCCTACAGAAGGGTCGGACGAAGTCGCTGACGATTACGTCGCGACGGAAACACCAGCGGACGGATCCGAAGCGGCTGGTGAAGCAGAAGGTGTTGAAGAGAATCTTCCACCGACTGTTGACCCGGTAGCGGAGGAGCCCAGAAGCTGGGCCGATCTTTCTGAGGGGTCCACTGCGCCCGCGCCTTCTGGAGAACTTGAACTGACCCAGGTCAAACAAGAGGTTCAAGAGGCCGAGTCGCTCAACGCGGTCCTTTCTGCAATTGGTGTTCCGGTGGTGGTCGCTGACGAGCCCGTCGCGACAGAGGGTGATTTTGAGCAGTCAACTTCAGATCAAACATTTTTGGAAGCTCCTCCAGATGCGGACAATCCGGCAGAAGCAGCTTTCACGGACCTTGATCAAGCTAAGGAAGAAGACTTTCAATCTGATCCTCAACCATCACCTTCAGAGCACGTAGACGCCGAGGTTGAAGAAGCCGAACAGCAGGTTGAGACAGCCGATCTTTTGGGTTTAGGTGACGAGGCGGGTCCAGTAGGAGAAGCATCCGTTGCATCCGAACCATCTGCATCCGTGCCTGAACCTGCGGTCGCTGACACATCCGGTGTCGCGACAGAAGCCAACACTAGTTGCCCCGATCAAATAGTCCCACCACCAACTAGCCCTAATCTTGTTGACCCAGGTGCCGATCCTATCCAAGTAGGACATTCCCCCGCTAGTTCATCAACAGCCCATCGACCAAGGGTTCGATCCAGCAGGGGTGGTACCACAACCAGGTGGCAAGAAGCAAAGCGAGCTTGGTGGAACGACTTCGAGGCATACCAAAATTGGCTTTACCATAACTCCGGAGGGGATATCGTAGGTGGCTTTTGGTTAAGAAAGATTTCTTACGAATACGCCGACGAAAGCACTCGCTGGTTGATAGCTCTTCATTCAAGACTTGTTGAGGAGTTCCCAACATCACAGTGTTTAGCTTTGGCCTACCAGATCCTCATCCCTTACAAAGAGTGGGCTCACATCCACGGTTTGGACAGGCGCAGAGGTACTTCACACGCCGAACAAGTGATAAACTCTGGTGAACTACCCCCAAAAAGGATCATTAACCAACGTATCCTAGGGGCAGAGCACCCGCGCCCAGAAGAGTGGGATAGGTATTATAGATACATAGGCCCACAGCAGCAACCCCGTCCAAAAGCGGTAAGGCCTGCTGCCGCAACACCCGTTGCTGGCGCGGCAAGTGGAGGCACAGATCCGACTCCGGTCCAGCAAGGACCCAAAGAGCCTGGGCACCCACCGCCGAACTGGCAACCTTCATTGAGAAGGCCACCTGAGCCAGCAGTGCCACCGCGTCCAAGGGTTACTGTCTCTGTCCATCCAGTCCCACAAGCCCCAAAGTCAGATTCTCAAGGGGTCGCTGCCTTTGGGCGCGACGTAGCACCAGTTCCAGTAGCCAGCCCCGCTAAGCCACCCGCTAAAGCTAGGCCCAAAGCTCCTGATTCTAGTGCCACAACCCTTGCTGATAGGATTCGAAGTTTGCCACCTCCACCTAATAACATTCCCCCTAGTCCGCCCGCTCATAAACAACCACCCTTACCACCACCACCATCTCATCCGCCGCCAACTGCACAGGAGCTCGCTGCCCGCGATTCCCAGCCAGCAGAGGCGCGAGAAGAGACTGCTCCAGAGGATCCCAACGATCCACCGCCTGAAGAGGAGCAGTGGGTGGAGGAGGAAGAGGAAGAGGAAGTTTTGGAGGAGGACGAAGTGGTTGAAGTTGAGGTTGAGGCTGAAGCTGAACCCGAATTCCCTGACTTCACAACAACAGAACACGGCCGTGAGGTTTCCACGCACCGTCGTAGGCCTAAAAGAACTAGGTCCAATCCGCCATTGCCCGTCAATCTAGTCCCAAGGGAAACCCGTGAACGCATTGAACTTAATCAAGAACTTTATGGAGCCCGAACCATAACCGGTGTTTCTAGGAGACCTCTTGCTTTAAGACCCCAAGTGCACGGTTACCCCGAAATTAGAATTGACTCCGCTGGCACCTGGGCTAGGGTCGCTGATCCTCCGATCGCGTACGCGCCGCAGAGTTTGCCGTTTATTGTTCCTCACGCCGAGGCACCAGAGCTTGGGGTCAACCCACACGAGCTTCCCGACTCGTTGTGGCGTGATCCTGCACTTAGATCCCATCGGACTGTTCTTGGTTCAAGTAATTTAGACCCCAATAGTGTTTATAATCTTGACACCAATAACCCCGGTACAGAATCTGAGGGCTCTGAAACTGCTGAGACTCGAACCGCCAGGTTTGTTTCATCAGGTCAGGCATTTGTCGGCCAGCAAGAACCGTTCGACGCTGGCTTCGCTGAGCGCACCCCTGCCCGTCCAATTGAGTCTCCACCAAAGAGACAGCGTCCTAACATAAGAACCTCCCGAATCCAACGTGATAAGCCGGCACAGCCCAGAAAAGATCCAGTTTCTGCTGCACCACCACCTGCAGCCCCTACAGTACCATCTTTGACTGTTCCCCCATTAAGCAGTTCTAGTAGTTCAGCTTATCCTCCCTGGAGGCAGTCCTTGCAAAGTGCTGGAACTGGGGTCGCTGACACAGCCCGTGTCGCGACAGAGACTGCATCAGAGCCAGCCGGCTCTCCCGTTGCGCGATCCAGGTCAAGAGCACCCTCAGCCGAGACTGCGCCCGCAGTTGCTGCCAGAACATCAAGGGGAAGGGAAGTACCAATTTCAAATAAGATTTCATCTAAGTCTCGCAAAAGAGCTAGTTCCGTTCCTGTGCCAATCCGTGCAAAGGGGGCTGCTGTCCCCGACACGCCCCAAAGGCCAGAACCCTTACCACCAGCTCCAGAGCCTAAGAAGAATCTGCCTTGGAAGCATCCGCCTGTGTTGCACCTGCAGCACCTGCTGCACCCTGCTGCACCTGTGGTAATTCCCCCAAGACCTAATAGGCCTGTTCCCCCTAATCCAGCTAATCTCAAGCCCGTAAAACCTCCTCCGCCAGGAATCGAGAGGGCAAGACCTGCTGGCCAACCGTCCCGAGATCTTCCACCACTTGATCCCGAAGGACAACAGCAACAGCAAGAGGCACCAAGCTCAGGATCTGGCCTTGCACCCCACGTCCGTGGGCGGCCTTTGCCTGAACCAACACCAGATCGGCCAGAGGGGGTCGCTGGCTCTGTGCCGCGACATTACCAGCACCAACCCAACTTAGTCTCTAAGGTAGTCCACGTTAATACATCCAACATAATTGTTTGTATCGACTGGCACGATACCATTGACCAAGCTCTCAACCCCGTAGGTGAATTGTCTTCCCATTTAGTTGATAAGCTTCGGACATTGACTAGGATTGCTGGTAATCAAATTGAGTTCCACATTGTCTCATACGCCGGCCAATCTAAGATTGACAGCACCAAGGCCGGTGCTGAGCACGTGATTAGCCAATTGATCGCAGAAGGTTTGCCGTTTAGAGAAGTGCACCTGGCACGCTATCCTTGCGGTAGGCAGGGCAAATCCTCTATCATCTCCGCTCTTCAGGCACATTGTCTCATCGACGATCGTTCTGACATCCTGAACGAGTGCAGGCAACTCGGCATTAAAACCATCCGATCAGAGGGGCGTCCTGACAAGGAACTCTGCTGGATTGCAGAGGTAGAGGACTGGATCCGGCACGAAGGGATCAGCCAGATCCTGCACTCCCGCCGCCCAGTTCCTCTTAGGACCGAGCAATTCTACCCCAACTTTGGGGGCCAGGACGATAGGTCGCTTTGGTAGACCCTGGCACAAGTCCAGCGGTTCTACAGCATCCGATAGGCTTTCAACGCCGAGGTAGCTGAGCTTGCTCGCTACGTTCGTCGGTCTGTCCTTGTCGTTTGCCAAGTGTCCTTTGTCCAATTGCCTTTTGCCTTTTGTTTTTAGTTCAGTGTTGTTTTGCGGTCAGAGCTAGGGTCATTACCGCTAGCGAAGCCGTATTGCATCCGAACTTCAACACAATTTGAATTAATTTCAATTGCACTTTATTATCTTAATATCCAACTTGCGAAGACTTTGTTGGTTGAGGTAGTATTGTGCTGCATTGGTCTTTTGTCCCATCACTGCACACTTTTGCTTGGAACGCTGAGCAAAGCTCGCGTTGGATCAGACATCGTTGCAGTTGAGCGCAAAAGTTCAGCCGAGTTTGGGTCAAGATGTCAGGCATTTCTCCCCCTTCTGATCCTAGTTCATCTAACAGTAGGTCAAGGAGTAGTCCTGAAACTTCTAATCCAAATGCAACAAGGGTCCCGGCGGTTGTTACCTCCCTGGTTCCACGAAGAATCCAGTTGCCTTCTTCTAGGGATGCCATTCGTGTTGATGATTCGTCTGATACTAGTCTGGAAGCATCTCAACATAATAGATTTAGGCAAAGGGGCCCCCATGGTCCAAACCCAAGCAATAGTCCTGATGAAGATAATCCTGTAGACCTTAGTGCAACCCAAG